AAAAATCAGATTAAAAGGATTGACGGGTTGTTTACGTTTCATATATAGAAACGCATAACATTGTGAATTGCGTTCTGTCATCGCAGAGGTTGATATACAGAATAAGTAACTATTTCCGAAAAAGAAGCGCAGCATTAACTGCTATCAGAAAGAGGGGAAGGAGACGTTATATTACCACGTTTGATACACATAGATTAACAACTGAGTTTGGGCGATTTCAAAAGCAAAGATACTTTAAATTAAAGTTTTAATAAAATTTTGCAATCCTTTCATGAAAACCTTAAAACCGATCAAGGATGTATTAAAGAAACAAAAAAATACATTATATTCTGAAGAATAAAAGAAATTTATCTTTAATTAAATCATGCAACAACCGTGATTTTGCTATACAATGCTTGATAAAGGAATGGAGATTTTAGCAAAATGAAAGGTTGGTGTAACAAAACCTTGAGAGGTGGCATCATGTGACATCATGTAATTCTTGCCTTGGCTAATCAACAAAGATACACTTCGGTTGAGGTCATGCACTTAACTACACACTGTGAGCAGGGAAGAAGCTAATTCCATGATATGCCAAATTGTTGTGCGCAGCTGTTTTGGATATGAGTAAAAACACTAGTTCCCTACAAAATACTCAAAAAACTCGCCCTATCCTCCATGTTAACACATGATGAACGACATGGCCCCCTTTTCAATACCGTTCCTATGCGCCTGTTCGTCACTCCAACAGTACGTATTGGTACTACACCATTCTAAATCAGGTTTGCATTTTGACGCATTAGGTACACTTTAACATTGCTTGAAAGACGAAGAGCAACAACACAGCAATCAGGTACCTTAGATGAAGATCTTGTAACACGCTTCTCTTCCATACCACCGTTTTCTTCAGCTTGAAAAGCAGTATCCGTGAGACACTAAATTTTAAGTTTGCCGCAAAGGGGCAGATTTCCTATTGAAGTTTAAAAATTTAAGACGAAGGTAGAGCCTACATTATCAAATCCTGCAGAATATGAAGCTAATAATTGCCTGTCCTCCTCTTCATCCGTGCCATCTTCGTCGGTAAAGCATGGTGTCGATGGAGATTTCATCTAAGAAGCACCATTCATTTTAAAGTACACTCCCCTTTTTCTGACTCATTTTTCAAAAAATACTTAGCCATCATGCTGGCCTTGCAAATGGTGAACAAGCAGTAAATAAATAAGTATAATACACATTATATATAGGAGAGTACCTCAGAAGTAATAACAACTGCTTCTTCTTCATGACTTGCCATTGATTTACATCGAGGCAGCATGCTCATCTTCAGTAAATCTCCACATTCCTGCAAAACAATCAA